TCTTTTTCCTCTGGTATTATCAACGTCTTCTAGTTCTCCAGGTTCACAGCATTTCGCTCCAGTAAAAAATTGAACAAAACTCTTCTTTGCTTTTATATGTCATTTAGTTGTACTACTAAAATAATATGATGATTTTAATTACCCAAAAGCAATAAGAAGACGTTCAGATCAATAATAGGAGAAAAACTTTAAACAAGTTCAAATCTATTACTTTAAAGTGAAGCGCCGATGATCGTTTTAGCTAATCTATTCTTTACTGGTTCTAATGGTGATAGTGGCTTAATTATTTAATTATATCAGATATTAAGTATTTCTTTATTTTACAATTTATTAAATGAGAAGTTTATTGTATCAGATAAAACAATAAATTATTGTTCAATAATTAACTAAATCTATATTATTCTGATTGATTAGTTTTTATTCTTTTAATGACCTTTAAAATTACACTTTTATTTCAAATCCAGCATTATTATAAATTTTGTAAAAACATTGTTATTTCTTTAATTAATAATCATTTGATGATAATAATGTTTTGATTCATTAAATTCAAATGAAGAATTGATTTAATAACTAAATTTATGATGGAATAAGCCATAATTATTTCTTCTTATATTCTTTATATTAATTATCAAATTCATTTAGAAATTGTGATTATTTCATTTTAATTACTGAAGAATAATTAATTTAATATTTTTTAATCCTTCTTAAAGTGAATTCATTTTGGATTATTAATTGAAACAAATAATATTCTTTTCAGTATATCAGATTCATAACTCATTGATTCATTCTCATGTATATAAAATAAAATAATATAAAGTTAAGCTTATTTAATCAAATAAAAAATTTCAGATTTTAATTTATATATATTTTTTTAATGATTGTTTCCATAATTTTTATCCTTGTTGCCTTAATTATTATTTCGAATTCATAATGGTTATTAAAATATTCTAGCTTAAATGAAGATTAATAATTCATGAATTACAATGGATCATCCTCTTCAATATATTCCAATTACTTATTATTGCCATCCAAGTATATAACAGCAAATTTTATAACTTGCACCAAACCTCCAACAAGCTATTTTACTCTCAATAGTACCTATCCATCAGCTAGCACTGATGATTCTATTGAATTTAAAAATGGTGATTTTTTTTCAGTGGACTTATATTTTCATGGTACATGGACAAATCAAACTGTTAATATTACAATAAGCTCATTTTCATACCTATATAATTATACCTCCCCTACAAATTACCTTATGAAAACTGGATTTTGTGATGAAATTGCTTATGAAGTTAGAACTGTTAATTTTAAGATTCAACTGCCAAATTCATTATCAGGTTATTACTAATTTACCTCTTCAAATACAAATGATGGTTAAGTTTCAATTAGAAATATACTTATTTCAACTCTTTAATGTTACCCATCATGTAAATAGTGCACAGGGCCAAA